TGACAACGCTTCTACCAGTAACACCTTCTAATATATTTCGTTCCCGCCCAGAGAAATCAAAAGACAGAGTCGAGGAGATCGGAAGAGTATATTTGGCGATGACCAATATATCGGAATTCTCTGATCTAATCTGGCTAGCGATTGCGGTTGATGTTGAGCACGGCGTTACCACACGTGATCTGGTGCTGATGCCTGACCGAGCGCCTTCAGCTAGGTGAGTCCACTAAAACATATGGTCAGCATCCAATGTCGAAAACTTAGTGCTATTTATTTTGGGGATTTATTTACCGCTACAGATCACTCCCCCCCTAGTGGGGCAGTGACGACCCTAAGACGTGGCCAGCCAGAAGTTTAAACCCAACGAGTTTGTCGTTGGTAAACACTCTTCTGATAGCTTACTAAATTTAGCAGCGTCTGGTCGTCTTTCCTTACTATATGGGACGGAGGTACAACATAGTAAAAAAGAAAATGTACATGGAAAATTTCGGATCCTCATAAACGTCATCGTTCTTTTCCAGCCGTCCTGGAAAAGAAAAAAGAAAATGTAAGTGCATGTCGAAATACACTCGTATGTGCGTAAAAGCACAATGTCGGCGGAAAAAAATGGAAAATAAACTCATGAACACGTAATAGCGTTAAAAAAATTGTTTTTTCGTTTTTTTTTTAAATAGAAATAAAAATATATAAGCATATTAAAATTGTTTTTTTTTTAAAAATAATATAAAATGTCGAGAAGTGCCTTACGTGCAATAGTCGTTTAGATGTTCTGGAAATCTCACCCTTCTTCCAGAACGCGTCGTTTTAAGTTTATTTTCGGATACTGTCGAAGTATCATCGTGTGTGTTGGTTGTCGGATGAGGTATTATAAGTGTCGGAGTCGTGTCGTTCGATTGTACCGAAGGAAAATCCACGTAGATAGGATTTCCTTCTAAATACGCTGCTTTTAAGCGATCGATACTGATGCTATCGTTGGTTCCGTTCTTATCGACTATATAGTACTTAGATTCACGTTGAAGAACTTTGAAGGGTCCTTCGTATGCTGATTCGAAGGGTCGTCGATGCGAGTCTCGACGAACGAAAACGTGTGTACTATATCGTAAGTCAGGTTGAACGAAAACATCAGTTGATTGAGGTCGAGTGGAAGCAGGTTTAACTGAACGCATTGCGTTTGTAAGCCTGTTCGTGTAGGAGGTTAGATCCATGTTCATTGAAGAGGATGAAGGATCCACGAATTCTCCTGGAAGTCGAAGTGTCGTTCCATAAACGAGTTGAGCCGCAGTGTATCCAATGTCAGCTTTCACTGCATTGCGGATACCTAGTAAGACGAGTGGAAGAGCGTCGGTCCACTGTGAAACGTTTGCAGCTGATAGCGAAGCTTTCAGTTGTCGGTGAAAACGTTCTACCAACCCGTTTGCTTGTGGATGGTAGGCGGTCGTTCGGAAGCGAGTGATTCCTAAAAGTGTGGTCAGCCGACGGAAAAGATCGGATTCAAACTGACGTCCGCGGTCTGTAGTGATGGTTGAAGGGCAACCGAAGTTTGCTACCCATCGTTCGACGAAGGTGCGGGCCACTGTTTCAGCAGTGATGTCCTTGATAGGTACTGCTTCTGGCCATCGAGTGAAACGGTCTACGCAGGTTAAGAGATAAGAGTATCCATTTGAATCTGGTAAAGGTCCTACCAAATCCAGATGAACATGGTCGAAACGAGCATCGGGAGTTTTAAACGAGCCTAAGGGACATTTATTGTGTCTGATAACCTTAGATTTTTGGCAGCTTACACAGGAGCGTGCCCACTCCCTCACGTCTTTATTCATTCCAGGCCAGCAAAACCTTTCTGCTATAAGCTTGATGGTTGCACGAACACCTGGATGCGAAAGTTTGTGCAATGTGTTGAAGACATTGCGTCGATAATGTTTCGGCACGATTGGGCGATCCCTACCTGTAGATGTGTCACAAAGTAAGGTTTCCTTACCCGTTCCCATCTGTTTGATGCGTAGTTTAAGTGTTGTGGACGATAACTCGTGCTGAAGATCACTGTCTTCTTTTTGAAGCTCGGCGAGTTTAAGAAGGTCGATTCCTTGGAAACTGTTCAAGGAAGTTATGCGAGATAAAGCGTCTGCAACTACATTGTTTGCTCCAGAGATGTGTTGAATATCTGAAGTAAACTGCGAAATGTAGTCCAGTTGTCGAGACTCACGTGGAGAGTACTTGTCAGAAAGAGAGCTTAACGAGAAAGTGAGCGGTTTATGGTCCGTGAAAAGAGTGAATTCACGACCTTCGATGTAGTGTTGGAAATGCCGTACAGCACAATACATAGCTAGGAGTTCCCTACCGAATGTGCTGTACCTCGATTCGGTGTCTAGCAACCTTCTAGAGAAAAATGCCAAGGGTTGCCAGGAGTTGTTAACCCATTGTTGTAAGACTCCTCCGATTGCCGAGTCGGATGCGTCTACTGCGATGCTAATGGGTGCTCGGGTGTCCTGATGTGCGAGCATCGTTGCTTTAGCAATCAGTTCCTTAACTGTGGAGAATGCTTTTCGTGCGGTGTCGTCCAAATTAATGGATTTCGCATTTCCACGAAGTTGGTCGGTCAGAGGTTTCATAAGTAATGCGCATTTCGGTATGAAACGTCTATAGAAACTTACCAGGCCGTTAAACGTGCGTAATTGCTTGACGGTGGTCGGTTCTGGGTAATCCAGAATGGCCGCCACTTTGGTCCTAAGAGGTCGAATGCCTTGAGCGTCGATAGTGTGTCCTAGGAAGTCTAACGAGTCGGTTCCGAATTGGCATTTCTGAACGTTTACAGTTATGCCATGTTTTTGTAGTCGTTCGAAAACAAGATCCAGATGCTTGAGATGTGTTTCTCTGTCCGGACTTGCGATTAGACAGTCGTCAACATACGCGTGTACGAAGTTGAGACCTCGAAAAACGTCGTCTATGAATCTTTGGAATGTTTGAGCAGCATTCCTTAGACCGAAAGGCATTCGCAAAAATTCATAGAGTCCGAAAGGAGTTATGATAGCTGTTTTCGGTATGTCGTCAGTAGCCATAGGGATTTGGTTATACGCTTTAACCAAGTCGATTTTCGAAAAGACAGTTGTACCTTTCAAGGTAGCTGTCAAATCGTGAATGTGAGGCAACGGGTAACGATCGGGAATGGTTTTCGCGTTCAATCGCCGATAGTCACCAGTTGGACGCCAATCGTTGCTGTCCTTTTTAGGGACCATGTGCAACGGAGATGCATATGGGCTACTTGACGGTCGTATGATTCCTAAGTCCATCATGTGATCGAATTCGTTTTTCGCTAACCTTAGCTTTTCAGGAGCTAGTCGTCGTGCTTTAGAGAATACAGGTGGTCCTGTAGTCGTGATGTGATGTGTAACATTGCTGGTTACACACGGTAGTTTCGGTTGAGTTTGTTGTATCCCAGGGTACTTATCGAGTAGTGGTTGATAGAGTGGGTCTATCATATGTTTAACTGTGACTGGGGATACTCTACAACCAGTAAAGGAAGTTACGCAAACGGACAAATTAGTGTTTCCGTCTACTAGCCTCCGTTTGCGAGTGTCGATGATCAGATTGTGGTGTTGTAGAAGGTCCATACCAATGATTGGCATAGAAACATCTGCAACAACGAAAATCCAGTGGATGGGTTTGCGTAAACCCACGTTAAGGTAAACGTACCTTTTGCCATACGTAGCGATCGGTTTTCCGTTTGCCGCCTGTAAGTTTAGGGTCGATTCGTGTAGTCGGTCGTTAGGATTTGCTGGGAGAACGCTAACTTCTGCGCCAGTGTCGACGAGGTAACGAACTCTCGTTGTCACATCTGTGACGAATAACAGACGGCTTTGTTCGCCGGCTACGGTTGCCGTTAACGCGTGCCGGCTTGGAAGTTTCCCGAATTGCTTTTCGAATCAGTCGGTTTCGTGTTGGGAAAATTGCAGGGTTTTCTGCAATTTCTGGAAAGCTTTCCATACTGGTTATGATACCAGCACCAGTCGGGGTTATCCGTCTCTCGTGGTCTAGAGACAGGCCGCTTACGAGAAATGCTTCTACGTGGTGTGCGCGATCTCTTACGGTCGGTACGAAGACTAAGATAACGCGTGAGTATGTGACATAAGTCGTTTATATCATTCTGAGTCGTTTGAGGTTTTTCTTTGACTGAAAATACCTCGGTAGTAGATTTCGTAATTTCTAATATGCGGTCGGCAGATGCAGCTAGCTCGTCTAAGGCATTGTTCTGGAACGAGACCAGAACTGCTTGCACCTGTTGGGGAAGTTTTGACAAGAAGAGTTGTTTGAATAGGCCTTCGTCGAAAGTTCTTGGGCCTATTACCTCTCTCATCCGTTGCAACATGTCTGTCGCAGAACCATGTTGCAGGTCGATATTGTTGAAGAGTTGATCTAACCTTTGTCGATCGGTTAGGTCTCCTCGTTTAAGAATCGAGCGTTTTAAGATTTCGTAAGGATCGGAAACATCACTAGTAAACATACTAGGTGTTACGTACCTGTTGAATTCGCGCGGTAGTGCCTTGACTACTGCGAGGAATTGCGCACGTGTGTCGATCACGCCGTGCTCGGAGAAGTCGGCTTCTGCGTAGCAAAACCAGGCTTCGATGTTGTCGGGCCAGAAAGGCATCAGTTGAAACGAAGGCGGGGACAAAGTCTTAAGCTTGAGTACTTTAGGTGTCTGTTCAGTCATGATGAAGTATGAAGTACGATAATGAACGAGGGGAAAAATATATATCCAGGAAAAAACACGAAAAAAAATCACAATGTTTAAAAAAGTTAAAAAAATAAGGCAATGATATATAAAAATCCCAAAAAGGAACAGACTCACAGTTGCAATTAGGTTACATAAGAAATTTCCTATCCACAATCATAGCACTATCAGACGTAATTCCTTGAAAATCTCTACTTAACCAGTAAACCATTACAATCCTTCAGGCACAGACCCCAAGGAACTGAGTAGATAGTGACGGTGTCCAGAAATGTTTGAACTTTCCAGTTTCGAGGTTGTATGACCTCGCACTTTTACGGTTCGAAGGTCGTGTGCATTTATGTGCAATGCCCGTATTGAGCCCTCTCGAGTTTCGTGATTGTGTTGTGGACAGCCCGAATTTCCGAAAGGCTTTGTCAGACCATGAGGCAGACTTAAAAATCGCGAACAAGAAAGTCAAAAGTGTTCTAGTGAACACAAGAAGAGTTTTCGAAGCTATGGAATGTAAGTTTTTCGTGGACATATTTCTAATAAATTTCCATAAGTTATATGATTAGTCGTCTTCTAAGTACCTAATATGTTCTTAATTCAGCGTGATAGTCATTATATTAGATCAATTGTTTGATAATTAATGTTTTGTTGTTTGGACTTACCGTTGTGCTTTAAATCATTAATTAAGCCACAGTATTGTGCAAGAAAAAGTAAAAAAGCAGCGTGATAGTAGTAAATTTGTTTAACATGTAGGGTTCATTTTCCACAAATCTCCATCTCTGCTGATAATCAGGGCAGTCAAACCAAGTTTTCCTAGCAATGATGAACATAGAGTATGATCTAGCACAGCTTTTGGATTTTAAGACATGCCATTTGTGTGTAACTCGTTAGGATTGTATAAGATATGCAATTGTCACCATTTTTTCGTGTGAGAACTGAATTGGCGTCACTATTATCGGTGCCAGGAAGGTTTTTCAACAGTATGTTGTCGATCCGAATGAAAGTTTCTGTGGATGCCCAACTTCTAGAACGACAGGTTGGATTCCGCAGAGTTTAATAGTGTACAGATCAAACTGCGACACGGATCATTGTTAAGCAGTCAGCTGGATAGAATTCAAATGGTTGTCGACGGAATAGAAGAAGCTTTCGCTTAACAGACTTCCGTGTCTAGTAACAAGGGATCACCAGACCTCCAGGCAGGAACCTAGGTATGTTAACAATAAAGGAGGAAAAGAAATTAGTAAATCATAGTGTGATACTATCCTTGGTCCTTAAGAATAGATCAAGTTGCCTCTTAAAGGACTCCTGGGAAGTCGCTTGGACTAGCTCGCCCGGCAGCGAATTCCAGCATTTGACAACTCTTAAGAAGTAGAAGTTCTGCCTACACTCCGTTCTGCTATGTTGTGTCTCCCGTTTTTGGGTTTAACCCTTTAGGTTAGTGTTCGAACTAAGCTTAAGTAGGTGTTTGAGAGGATGTCCAGAAGTGTTAAGGATACTGTAAGCCATCAGAAAATCACCTCTAAAACGTCTATACTCTAGTGGGTAAAGGTTAAGTGAATGGAGGCGCTCTTCGTAAGGTTTAAATTTGAGTCCTCTAACTGATTTCGTGGCTCGCCGTTGTATACGCTCCAGGGTGTCCTTATCCTTTTGTAGTGAGGGAGGAGATACTATGTTTCCGTACTCTAAATGGGGACGGATAAAACTATTGAAGATTATATGGAAATTTCTTCCGTCAAACTGGCCAAAAATGCGCTTCAATGTTACCAGTGCAAGGTTTGCTCAGAAGGCATTTTTGTCACAGTTAGCATAAGACTTTAAATCGTAGGGCACCAGGACTCCTAAATCTTTTTCGACTTGGGATACTACTAGAGAGGAGTTTCCTAAGTTATAACTAGTCTGCGACATGTCACTATACATCAACTTACTTGACTACGAGGAAGCGTTTGACAGCGTGGATAGGAGAGCCTTATGGAACCTTCAACATTATAATGTACTTGAGAAAACCGTCAACACCATTGGGGATTTATACGACGGACTACGCTTCAAGGTCTTGCATAGAGGACAGCTAACAGATACACTCAAATTAAGGACCGGAGTCAGTCAAGACTGCCTACTCTCACTCTTCCGCTTTCTTCTGGTGGTTGACTGGATTGTGAAGACCTCGACATCTGAGGGAAAGCACGGAATGTAATGGGTAGCTCGGAATCTAGTAGAAGATTTGGACTTCGCCGATGACCTTGCCCTTCTACCTCATACACACGAAAAAATGCAGATGAAAACAACTAGTGTATCAGAAGCCTCTTCCACAGTAGGCTTGGACATAAACGAGAGAAAAATCGAAATCCCCAACTTCCACTCGGAGAACGCCAACCCAATCATACTTGATGGTGAAACTCTGGAGGAGGCGGAATCTTTCACGTACCTGGTCAGCCTCATCGATGAAAAGGTGCGATCAGATGCAGACGTTAAATCAAGCTTTTCTTTGGCTTGCTCTTCTGATAGCCGTTAAGAATAGCTGAAAAGTTTGTGAGTTTTGATGTTGGCGTGACCAATGAGATTGTTTATTTGCTTGAACACAAACATTGAGACAAGTAGGCACTTATATATATATGCGCCACACAATAAAAATGGGATTGTGAAGTGATAGAGAACGTAAGGTGAGTTTAATGGCAAAAGAACAAAGATGAATATGAATTAGTAAATGAGAGTGAAATAAAAGTAAACTAATAATAATTATTATAATTGCATAAGAAGATCAGTCAGAAATAATACAACCATAAAGCGTTCTTTCAGTTAAAGAAGTTACTCTCACTTTTATGAAGAAAGTATAAAAAAATTACAACAGAATCGCCACTGGTTTCTATACTGATTCATGTTTGGTAACTCTTCAAAGCAATATGACACCATCTCTAGAACCCCAACCAGGGATTTGTGAAGGACTAATAAAAGCCAGTCACGTACGGCTTTTTCTCATAATACGAAACCATGTCGCACGCTGGCCACCCCTCTGCTTTTCCCAACCAATTCCCACCGTTGGAAAACAATGCACGATATGGAATTAGCTTGGACGATATTCATAGTACATTTTTAAGCCACCAAAGTCAGTTTTTCAAGATATTAACATCAACTGAATAATCGTCATTGTGTCTGAACACACGTTGCCGACCCTCTGCATTACCACCATGGTATTGCCACTGAATGTCCATAGTCAACTCGGAGAGACCAGGTTTTACAAGCGTAAAGCAAAACTGTTCTCATTGACGCATCATAGTTCCGATCCTTTACAGCTAGAAGGTGCCAAAGATGCCCCAGATTGGCATAATCCTCTCTGGTTTTTATTATACATGAATTGATCTCATCACTCACTCCACCACCAGCAACTGCAGAGCCACTCAGATACATAAATCTCTCGATTGCTTCTAACTGCTCACTATCAAGAGTGAATGCAGGTCCTAAGTCCTGCCAGTCTTGTAAAAGTACTTTGCACTTCGAAGGTGCAAAGCACGTACCATACCTACGGATACTGATTGCCAACTGATTAAGTGCGGATTGGATGGCTTGAGTATAATCGCACAGTAAGACAACATTATCCGCATACTCAAGGTAGAAAAGTATTTCTCTGTGCAATAGATTCACACAACCACTACGTACATCCATCAAATCTGTTTCCAGAACGTTATCGATAGAAATGTTGGGAAGTTTGAGATTGGGCAATTCTGTCTAACCCCACTGCTTCAATTAAACGATGAAGATAGGTGGTTGTATATCATTGGTTTGTTTAAATTGTTTGTATGCAGGACCTTAAAGGTGCTAATAAACACTTCAGATCCACTCTTCTTCAACAGGAAGTACCAGAAAACGTCCTTGTCCAACGAAATGGAGGCTGCCTTAATGTCAAGAAACACTGCAATTTTTGGACTGCAATAAGTATAACAGTGTTCGAACAATTGGAAGAGGATGAAAATATGATAAATACATCGTTGACCTAAACAAAAACCAATCTACTTCTCGTGAATTAACTTTATATTGAGTACTATAAAGCTATTCTCTTAATAATACTTGACCTACTGAAATTGATAAGTTCATAACTAAAACATTTTATAACTTCACTTTTAGTAACTTTCCAGACCATGAAATGAATTTAGAACTGTACCTTTAAAAACATCTAAGAGATATATAACAAAAACATTGTTTTATGCAGACCCTAATACTTTAACAAATTGATATATTTGTCTTCAATAAAAAAAATGCATCTGCTATTTCATCAAATAAAAAACTACTTGAATAAATATATGAAATCTCGTACTACACAGCTGTTAGATACATTTATGGTAATATTATCCTCTTGATTATCTGCTGTGAAATTTTCGAAAAAGTAACAGTTTATAAATATGTAGAATATTTTAGTGTAATCTCTGAATAAAATTCGGAAGGACCTTTTGACTGTGAATTTATTAAAAACAAAAATCATGACATCATTTGATATAGAATAGGTAGAATATGGCCAGTAGTGGCATCCAGGGTGCTCATTTCTCCCTATTTTAAACTCATCAGCTGAATGTATTTACATTCCTGAGATGATGTTCACCTCGGGACTTGAACCCAGTATCGTTTGTTTCAAACTCCATCACATCATCCACTTAGCCACTGAGTCCAAATAGCCAATCATTTGTGCCACGTCACTTATCATACGTTGTTAAGTTGTACAAATGGTTGATTATGAATAAAGCTATATATTCGGCGAAATATATGAAATACGATCTCAGTGAAGATGTGAATTCCGTCAATGTTTCAGATGAGTCGTTTCAGTAATCTCAAACATTTATGTGAAAAATTGTCGTAAGACTAGCTATATATTTCTTTAAAGCATCTAGTCATGTTGTGATACTTAATTCAACAGAACGAGAATACTTTTAGCTGTAACAATGACTCTCTCAAATTCACTTAATCATTAGTTCATTTCAACAAGCCATGTGTTTGTCACACTTAAACTTAGACCTTAATTTTTTAGGCATTATTACCACATAAGGACGAAACGGTCGTCCAGTGCTTCCACGTTTTTCATGGTGGTCTAGCTTCAACTGACTCATCATCTTAACCATTGAAATTACTATAATATCCACAAAACCCATCTGACATTGTTTCCTTGTTAAATTTTCAGACAAAGTGGTTGTATTATACTTTATAATCCATCAGTTATTTATATATGTTTCATAATGTAGTTTTTTTCATGTGTGCGACAGTTCCCAGTAAATATCTGTTTGATTAATGCATAATTACAAATGTAAGATAATATCAGTATAGGTACCTCATAATTTCGGTGTTGGTAAATATATTCCTTTCACCATCCAGTAAGGTTTATTTTTAGACAGCGTAAGTATTTGGTATGTTTTTGTAACTACCGGACATAGAATTCCTTTTTTTCATAAAAAAAGATGTAGCCCACTGTGTTTAATTTATGTTAGTGCCTAATTCGACAGGATAGTGGCATGTAAGTCCAATAACTACTTTAA